AACAGAGAAAACAGAACGGGGCGGCGCGGTTAAATATATCGATGCACGAGGACGCTTGGCCAATTCTGGTCAATACCCCAAGGCCTATGGACGTGCTTGAGAACAGCTGTGTGCGGGGGGGGGGGGGGGGGGGAGCCCTAAACATAATCCTATGAAAACGATGGTCTGCCGTGCAGGATTGGGGCGGCAGGTCCGGGGCTGTTTAAACTTTCCCAGGCAAGCGCTGGTGTCTGGAGTGGGGGCGGCCTTGCCGCGAGCTGTGGGTGCAGTTCTGGCAGCTCGTCGAGGACTACGGCGTCACCATGGTGCAGGTCTGCAAGGTGAAGGCGCACGCGACGGAGCAGCACGTCCGCGACGGCCTCATCACGGACAGACAGCGCGCGGGCAACGCCAGGGCAGACAGCCGAGCCAAGGAGGGAGCCGCTCTCCACGGCGTCTCGCAGGCGCGGCTCGACATGGTGGACCTCGCGGAGAGCCTCGCCAAAGGTGTCTCCAACTGGCTGGGGGAGGCGACGCAGGAGGGCGACTCGCTGCTGCGGGCGGCCGACGGCTTTGAGGCGCCTGGCCTTGAGGCGATCAGGTGCGCATGGGCGGGTTGCCGACAGCGCCCAATGGCAGCCTGCGGGGTCGGCGGGCCCAACTGCGCATTCCGCGCCTGCGACCGCCATGGCACGGCGCTGCTGCTGGGCGAGACGGTCTGTTGGAGCTGCTGGGTCTGCGCCGCCGCTGGCACCCCCGTGCAGGGGGGCCGAGCGGCCGCCCGCAGCGGAGGCTCGGGCGACGGCGCGGGAGCGACGGGAGCAGCCGCCCTCGCTTTGGCGGCCGCCGCGCTGGCGGCACGCCCTCGCGAAGAGGCTGAGGGCGGCGGCGGGGGTGAGTCCGCCCGCGAGGAGGGGCCGCCGAGGCAGGGGGCGGGCGCTGCCAGCCCAGGAGGAACGCTGGCCGGAGGGTCCGCCGCAGCGGAGGTGCCAGCCGCCGCCGAGGCGCCTCCGCCGCCCCCCGCCCCGCCAGGGCCAGGACGGCGAGGCCGCGGTCGTGGCGGAGGCCGAGGCCGGGGCCAGGCGCGCGCCGCTGGAGTGGAGGCCCCCGTTGTCGGCCCAGCAGCCGTCGGGCAGCCAGCCTGGCGGAGCGCGGCGCTCCACGACTCGCGCATCCTGACGCAGGCGGGCCCGACGGTCTTCTGCAACGTGCGCGGCTGCAACGCTGGCTCGGCGCGCGTGATGGGGCTGGCCGGGCCCTGCCTGCGCCGAGCGTCGGAGCGCCAGCTGGAGGGGCTGCGCCGTCTCCGACGAGGGCCCCACCCAACGAGGAGCGCGGTGCTGGGGGAACCCGCCCGCCTGGCGGGCCGAGGGCGGCCGCGGAGCCGCTCCCGAGAGCGGCGCGAGGCCGCGGCGTCCGGCGAGCGGGGCGAGGGCGCTGCTTCGGGCGCGAGGGGTAGGGGTGGGGCCTAAACCCGTGGTGCCTCCTGGGCGGGCAGCGGCCCTTTAGGCTTGCCTAAGGGGCGCCGTTGTCCCCGTGCGGCTCTTGGTTGCCCTGGTGCTCCCAGTTGTCGTGCGGGTCCAGGTTTCATCGCGGGCTTGGGTGCCTCCCCCTGCCCAGAGCGGGGGCTGTGCGACGCACGCCGTCCGCCGAGGGGGGATCATCATCATCATCATCATCATCATCATCATCATCATCATCATCATCATCATCATCATCATCATCATCATTGACATTCTCGCCCTAGCCGTTCAATTTCTGTCCTCCTCCTTCCTCCTCCTTCTCCTCCTCCTCCTCCTCCTCCTCCTCCCTCTCCTCTCCTCTTCGTCTTCTTCCTCTTCCTCCTCCTCCACCTTCTCCTCCTTCCCCCCCTCCTCATCTCCATCCCTCCAGCTCTCCTCATGAACTGATCCTTCCTCCTGGCAGGGTTGCGCATGCCGATTTTCCACCTCCTCTTCCCCCTCCTCCTCCTCCCCCTCTTCCACCATGTCCTCACGCTCCTCCTCCGCCCCTCACTCGAACCTTCTGCTCACTGGCGCCTCTGCGCAGCCCCAGACCAGCGCCAAAGAGACCCCCGAAACGAACTCCTCGCCATGCAAGTCGCGCGGTTCACTCACAGACGAGGATCCTGCTCGAGACGTCGTCCGTATGCAAGCCTGAGAAGCTCAAACATGAAGACAAGCACAGGGATCCCGATGATCCGCTCGGATTACCAGCTTGACGTGCGGGACCCGTAGGGAGGGGGCTCCCGTTGCAGACTTCCTCCATATCCAGACAACAGGATTTGGATGACCCTCTCGGATTCGAACATGAAGTGCGGGCACCATAAAGGGGGCGAGGGTTAGGGGGGGGTTTCCGCGTAAGACCTCCTCGCAATTACTCACAGACGAGACTCTCATCTGAGACTTCTGAAAATTCAGGCCTGAGGAGCCCCACATTGACGACGGTAATAGGATCCTGATGACCCGCTCGGGTTCGAACATGACGTGCGGGCCCCATAGGGATGGGGGGGGCTCCCGCCTCACACTTCCTCGCGATTCACTTTGGGACGAGGCTCCCGTCTGAGACGTTTTCGAGACTCAGGCCTGCGAAACCCACAACTGACGACAGTTACAGGATTCGGATGTCCCACTCGGATTAGAACATGAAGTGCGGGCGCCATAGGGAGGGGGCTCCCGCCTGAGATTTCCTCGCGGTTCGCTCACAAGCTCCCGCCTGAGACGCCCTCAAGATTCAAGCTTGAGGAGCCCCAAAGTGACGATGGTTAAAGGGTTTTGATGCCCCGCTCGGGTTCGAACGTGAAGTGCGGGCCCCATAGGGGGAGGGGGGTGGGGGGCTCCCGCCGCACATTTCCTCGCGATTCACTCTCAGACGAGGCTCCAGTCTGAGACGTCCTCAAGATTCAGGCCTGAGAAGCCCACGGCTGACGACAGATACAGGATTTGGATGGCCAGCTCGGATTGCAACATGAAGTGCGGGCCCCATAGGGAGGGGGCTCCCGCCTGAGACTTCCTCGCGATTCACTCACAGGCTCCCGCCTGAGACGTCCTCAGTATTCAGGCCTGGTGAGCCTCAAAGTGACGACGAATACAAGACTTTGGTGACCATCTGGGGGAGGGGGGTGGCTCCCGCTTGATACTTTTTCGCGGTTTACTCTCAGACGAGGCTCCCGCCTGGGACGTCCTCAGGGTTCAGGCCTGCGGAGCCCACAATTGACGACGGCTACAGGATTTGGACGGCGCGGTCGGATTAGAACATGAAGCGCTGGCCCCAGGGGGAGGGGTCTCCCGCCCGAGAATTCCTTGCGATTAACTCAAAGGCTCCCGTTCGAGATTTCCTCAAGGTTCAGGCTTGAAGAGCCCCACAGTGACGACGGTTACATGATGTTGATGATCCGCTCGGGTTCGAACATGAAATGCGGGCCCCATAGGGGGAGGGGGGTCCACTTGAGATTTCCTCGCGGTCCACTCTCAGACGAGGCTCCCGTCTGAAACGTCCTCAAGGTTCAGGCTTGAGAAGCCCACAACTGACGACACACGATTTGGATGGCCCGCTCGGATTAGAACATGAAGCGCGGGCCCAATGGGGAGGGGGCTCCCGCGTAAGGTCCCCTCGCGATTCAATCACAAACGCAGCTCCCGCCTGAGACATCCTCAAGGTTCAGGCCTGTGGAGCCCCAAAGTGACGGCGGTTACAAGATTCGGATGGCCCGCCCGGATTAGAACATGAAGTGCGGGCCCCATAGGGAGGAGGCTCCCGCCTGAGACTTCCTCGCGATTCACTCACAAGCTCCCGTCTAAGACTTCCTCAATATTCAGGCCTGCGGAACCCCGAAGTTACGACAGTTACAGGATGTTGATGATCCGCTCAGATTCGAACATGAAGTGCGGGCCCCATAAGGGGGAGGGGGGCTCCCGCATAACATTTCCTCGCGATTCACTCACATACTCCCGTCCGAGACTTCTCAAGATTAAGGCCTGAGGAGTCCCAAAATGACGACACTCAGTTACAGGATTTCGATGGCCCGCTTGGATTCGAACATGAAGTGCGGGCCCCATGGGGAGGGGGCTCTCGCCTGAGATTTGCTACGGGCGGTGACCAGATGATGAGTGAGTGGGTGATGAGTGAATGTGACTGCGTGAATGTGAGTGAGTGTGTGTGGTTGATGTCGATGATGACTGTCGATAACCATGGTGGGATCATGACATGATAATGAATGTATGGGTGATGGTTGGATGAGCGAAAGAGTGTGCGGGTGACCATGATGATCGGTGATCATGATGGGATGGTGATGGCAGGAGGAGGAGGTGATGTGCGAGGTTCGTGCGCGTAGGTGTGCAGAGAAAACAAAAACACCACTTAGGATATGAGGAACAACATTGAACAAACACAGTGGTTTTGAAGGATTCTGGCCTCCTGGGAGCGTCCTTGGAAGGCTCGGCTCGGAGGTCACTTGGGACCTTCCTGGGGCGATCTGGAGGGCTCTTGGAGACACGTTGGAGGCTATCTTGAACCATCTTGGGGTGTCTGGAGCTTGTGGGGCTCTTGGAGCCACCTGTGACCAGGACCCCCTGACTCCTCGCGGGGGGGGGGCGGTTCCAAATCCAGGGGGAGGGGGTGGGTGGGGGGAGGGGGGACCCCCTCCCCGAAGGGGTAGCAGAACGAGCTCGCCAGACCACTCACACCCTGAAGGGCTGGTGAGATCTTGTCGAGCCGAGCGTCTTGCCCGGTTTCGGGCCTCGGGGCCTTCACAATTGATCGGGGTCGATGCATGGCGCCGAAAGATGGGGTCCCGGGACCCAGTGTTGATCTTTCGCGATTGTGTATTTGTCTGCCGCGTCGGACCTCAGGGCTGGCGTCTTTGTGTTTTTGTTGGCCTCCTGGCGGTTTCTCGGCGCCGCGGCCGGATCAGCTTCAAAACAACGGGTCAGGATGGATTTGGGAGGGGTGTAAGGACAGATTTTGAACGGGTTTGGGCCAGGCGGGAGGGCCGCCGCTGTCTCTTGGCCCTCTTCCGGCAGGTACAGGACGTCGCGGTCGTCGTGCCCAGGTGCTCGGGGGAGGGGGGGGTCCGAACCCATCCCTGCTCGCGTCGTGAAAGGAAGGCGACGGAAGGTTTTTGGTAGCTTTCGGCGTCCAGGGGCACCCGCCGGGCCATGGTGCTGTCAAGAAACGGCTCGGGATCAAAAGCTGGCCCTGGAGGAAGAGTCGGATTTTCGGGGGCCGCGCAGTGGAAAAATCAAGACACCGAATGCATCGGGAGGGGAGCTTATCCCGGAGGTCTTTTGGGAGTCTTCGGGCCTTCGGGGCCTTCCAGGGCCCAGGGGCTGCCAGAACGAATGGTCCAGGATGCAAGACGGGTCTGGGGGCAAGCCCCGGCGTCCAGGGCCAGTTTCCCTCAGGGCACATTTCCGCCGTGCCGAGGTACACGCTCGGCGACAGCGCGGCTACCGCCCCCTCCGCGCAGGTCATCGGCGCGCCGGCGTCAGCGTAGGTGTGAAGTGATCTCGCTCCGCGCGTGTAGTCCGCTGCGCGCAATGGCTGCCGATTTCCGGCACGGCGCAATCTGAGGTACGCATAACCTTCACGGGTGTAGGGGCCCCATAAAAACTGCACCAGAGAAAACCCCCAATCAGCGGATGGTTTGAAAACTAATTAGTGGTATGGATATTGAGATCAATTGTGAGATGGATAGTGGAATCGGTAGCGAGGACGATTGTAAGGTCGATCGTGAGACAGATTGTGAAGTCGATTCAATGAGATCGATAGTGAGATCGATCGTGAGATCGCTCGTGCGATCTATATAGTGGGATCGTTTGTGAGATCGATAGTGAGAAAGATCGAGAGGTGGGTAGTGGGATCGATGGTGGCACCGATCGATAAGAAGATCGACCAGGAACCCGGGAACCCAGGAACCCCTCGTCCTGCCGAAATCGGCCCGGAACTTTCGCCAAATCTTTGAGGGCGATCTGGACAAGGGCGGCGGCGGCGGCCGCGAATCGCCGGGTCGCCGGATCGCCGGGTCGCCGGGTCGCCGGGTTGCCGGGTCGCCGGGTCGCCGTGTCGCCGGGTCGCCGGGTCATCGGATCACGGGATCGCCGGATCGCCGGATCGCCGGGTCGCCGGGTCGCCTGGTCGCCGGGTCGCCGGGTCGCCGGGACGCCGGGGCGCCGCGTTGCCGGGTCGCCGGGTCGCCGGGTCGCCGGGTGGCCAGGTCGCCAGGTCGCCGGGTCGCTGGGTCGCCGGGTCGCCAGGTCGCCGGGACGCCGGGTCGCCGGAACGCCGGGTCGCCAGGTCGCTGGGTCGCCGCAACGCTGGGTCGCCGGGTCGCCGGGACGCCGGGTCGCCGGGTGGCCGGGTCGCCGGGTCGCCCGGGTCGCGGGTCGCCGGGACGCCGGGTCGCCGGGTCGCCGGGTCGCCGGGTCGCCGGGTCGCCGCGGGTCGCCGGGTGGCCGGGTCGCCGCGAATCGCCAGGTCGCCGGGTCGCCAGGTCGCCGTGGTCTTTTGGTTCACCGGTCGAGGTGTCCATGATGAAGACGATTGTGATGATGGTGATGCTAGTGCCGCTGTCGACTCTGTCGCTGACGATGGTGATGCTTGTTGATGACGATGCTGATGGTGATGATGATGGCCTGATGATGGTGATGGTGATGGTTATGGTGATGGTGATGGTGATTTGATGATGATGCTGATGATGACGACGACGACGCTGATGGTGGTTGTCATGATGATGATGACGATTTAAACCAGGAAGGGGATGATAAGGAGAAACAAGACGAGGAAGAGGAGTAGGAGGGTAGGGAGATCAGGCGAAATACGAGGGTTGGACGGAAGAAGGAAGACGAGGAGGAGGAGGAGGAGAACATTGAGGGGGAGCAGGATGGGGTTGAAGGCGATAATTAGCGACACGGACGACGACGGCGACGAATCATCCATACAAGTTTCTGCCAATCTGCCGCTCTTCGGAGCCTCTTCGGAGCCGTTTTGGCGCCCTCTTGGGCTCCTCTTGGGGCTTTCGGAAGCCACCTCGGGGCCTCGGAAGATCATCGGAAGGGAAAATGCGAGACACAAACACACACACACACACACACACACACACACACACACACACACACACACACACACACACACACACACACACACACACACACACACACACACACACACACACACACACACACACACACACACACACACACACACACACACACACACACACACACACACACACACACACACACACACACACACACACACACACACACACACACACACACACACACACACACACACACACACACACACACACACACACACACACACACACACACACACACACACACACACACACACACACACACACACACACACACACACACACACACACACACACACACACACACACACACACACACACACACACACACACACACACACACACACACACACACACACACACACACACACACACACACACAGTGCATTTAAGGTTTTGGAGAAATTGGGTTTCTTGGGAGTCTTCTTGGGGGTCCATGGCCACCTGGATTCGTCTTGCGAGGTCATTGGGGCCGCCTGGAGTTTCTTGGAAGCTATCTTGAGCCGTCTGGGCATATTCTGAGCCATCTTGGAGGCCAGCTTGGGCTCTCTGAGGCCTTCTTGGAGCCATCTTGGGCCACCTTGGACGCTCCAATGGATCGCCGCCCCTCCCGTCCAAACCCAGGGGGAGGGGTCAGCGGGAGAGGCGCAACCTCCCCAAAGGGGAAGAAGGGGAGGTTGGAAGGGGTAAGCACTCCCAGAAAGAGACGGATAGGGCTTCAGGCGATCGCGACAAGGACGATTACGGCGAATATTCTATTATACAGGTTTTCGCGGATCTTCTGCTCTAGGACTCTCTTGGGGGCACTTGGGGGCTGTCAGGCCCTCTTGGAGCTACTTGGGGCGTCTTGGACGCTCCAATGGGTCGCTGCCCCCATCGTCCAGACCCAAGGTGGGATAGCGGGAGGGGCAAGCCCCAGTCCGAAGGAAAAAAAAGGGAGGTTGGAAGAGGAACCGATCGAACCACCTCCGCCCAGAGTGCTGCTGTGTTTTGTTCGGTGTTTGTGTATTTCGCTTTCTTTGGGCCTCGGAGGGTTCCTCGTCGTCACGATCGGATTCGCTTCGAAACCTTGGTCGGAATGCTCTGGTCCAGAGGTCCGGGGGCTTGGAGGCAGATCAAGCTGTCGCCGTCCCCGTCATTCCTCATCCTCCTCCCTCCCTCGTTTCCGTTTTTCTGCTCTCTCTTCCTTTTCTTCCCCTCCCCTCCTCTCTCATTCTTCCCTGGTCCTCCTACCGTAGCGTTGGCTCGGCTAGCATTGGCTCGGCAGCGATGACGCGGTGCGGCGTTTGCTCTGCAGACCGCCGGCAACGGTGCAGGTGCCCAGAGGGAACTCCCAGATCCCTCCGGGAATTCCCCGTGAACCCTCGATTGCAAACGAAACGGCCCAAAAGGAAAACTGAGGAAACGAACGCAGCCGAGGAGACCAGAAAGACAGAGGCTGCGGAGGGGAGGAAACCAGAGGAGACCGGTAGAGCCGAGGCGGCCAAGAAGACAGAGGCTGAGGAGGGCAGGAAGGCAGAGGAGACCGGGAAAACCGAGGAGGACCGGAAAGCGAAAACTACCCAGGAAAGGAACGCTCAGGAGAGCAGTAAAGCCGAGGTGGCGAAGGAGGCAGAGGCTGAGGGCAGGAAGGCAGAGGAGACCAGAAAAACTGAGGAGGACTGGAAGGCCGAGGCCACGGGGGACAGGAAAACTCAGGGGGCCAGAAGCGCCGAGGAGGCCAAGAGGGCGAAGGCTGAGGAGGAGAGGAAAGCAGAGGACACCTAGGCCGAGGAACGGAAAAGCAGAGGAGGCTTCGGAGAACGACCAGCGGGAGGGGCGCGGGGGGCGCAGGCGCTCGCGGGGCCGCTGGCCGGCTGGAGGAGACGGCCGGCGCAGCGATTGAGCGAGAGGCGGTCGGTCCAAGGACTCGCGGGGGAAGCTGGGGGCCGGCGCTGATTGGGACCAACAGAAGCGACGCAAGCAGGAAATCGAGAACGAGGGCAAGCGCGCCGGGGGCCCTGCGAAGCGGACTGGCGAGCCCGAGCGGCGCGGACAACCTCGGGCTCTACGGGGCGCTCGGGCTGCGACCGTGGTGTTCGGAGAAGGACGTCAAGGTCGCGTTCCAGGACCTCGCAAAGAAGTGCTACCCTGACAACGTGAAAGGGGTGCCAGAGACCGTGGCGAAGGCCATGTCTACCCTGTTCGTGAGGGCCACTGAGGCTGGGCCGGCGCTCCAGGACGCTTCTCTCCGCGCGGCTTGCGACGCTGCCTGCTGGGGCCCCAGGGGTCGGCCCGCCCCCCCGCCCCCAGAGGGGCGGTCTGCGCGCGTGTCCCGAACGACGGGGGGGGTCTACTTCTTCAGCGAGAAGACCGGCGAGTCCACCTGCGACCTCCCTGCGCGGGCCTCACTGACAGGCTTGCCCGCCGGCTGCCGCGGCTCCGCCGACCGCGCCGAAGCAAAATGTCGTCATCGTCGCCTCGCTGCGCTGCCGCCGCCGTCAGGGGAGGGGGGCAGGGGCCGCTGGCCGAGTGGCCGAGTAGGCAGCTAAAGGGGCACCCAAGACGGCAGCCAAGAGAGAAGCCACGCAGGCAGCCAGGAAAACACCCAGAGAGGCAGCCAAGAAGGCAGCCAAGAAGGCAGCCAGAACTCAGCCAAGTAGGCAGCCGAGAAGGCAGCCAGGAAGGCAGCCATGAAGGCGCCCAAGAAGGCAGCCAAGAAGGCAGCCAAGAAGGCGGCCAAGAAGGCAGCCAAGTCGGCAGCCGAGAAGGCAGCCAAGAAGGCAGCCAAAAAGGCAGCCCAGTAGGCGGCCGGAGAGGCCGCCGGAGAGGCAGCCAGGAGCCAAGAAGGCAGCCAAGAAGGCAGCCGGAGAGGCAGCCGCGAAGGCATCCAATATACGGTTCTCGAAATGTCCCAGCCCGCTTCGCATGCAACACCCTCGAAACCCAGGGCCCCGAGGCGCCTTGACTTGAGATGTTCTGGCCGCTTTCGCCGGAGAGATCCCCCCAATTCCTAGATCCAGCGCGCGGTTCTCGAAGTGTTCCAGCCTGTTTTGCGCGAGACATTCTCGGATCTCTGGGGCCCGAGCCGCTTTGACTTGAGGTGATTTGACCAGGGCCAGAGCCAGGGCCCAAACCAGAGCCATAACCAGAACCAGAACAAGAGCCAGAGCCGGAACTAGAACGAGAGCCAGAACCAGAACGAACCAGAGCCAGAACCAGAAACAGAGCCATAACCATAACCAGAACCAGTACCAGAGCCAGAACCAGAAGCATAACCAGAGAACGGCGACGACAGCCAGAGCCAGAGCGATTGAGCTAGGGCCAGAGCCCGAAGCAGAGCCAGAACCAAATACAAAAAACATAACCATAACCAATACCACGACCCAATCGCGAACCCGAATCAGGACCAATACCATGAGCAGAACAGAAGACAGAAGCAGTGCCAGCGAGGGGTCCGCACTGAAATCTGGAAACAGAACCGCAGGTAGAACCAGAGCCAGAAGCAAAAGCAAAGCCCGACCAACAGCCAGAATTGCACCCGTACCGCTTGCAGAAGCACAAGAAGGTCAGAACTCAAATCCAGAACCAGAGCCAAAACCATCGTCGGCACCATCATCATCATCACCATCGCGATGATAGTAATAAGGAGCAGCATCATCGTGACCAGCATCGTCGTCATCGTCGTAACCATCATCATTTCCATTGTCGTGTGCGTCGTCGTCGTTGTCACCGGGGCCAACGTCGTTCCCCGCGCCGCCACCATGAGAATCACCCGTCCCTGAGGAGCCCATTTTCGAATCAAGGTTGAGCCCGCGCGAGCGCGCTGCGCTGTCGCTCCCTGCGCAGCGTGGAGCTGGGACTGGCGAGGATGGTTGGCGAGCCGGGGACACATTTTTCATTGAGTGCGCTAATGCATCCGTTGCCTGCAGCTGCCTGCGGGGTCGTGGCGCGCGCGCAATCATGCGCGCCAAACGAATTGGCTCCGCCTTGTGATCTTTGCTGCGTAAAGGACTGAAGGTAGATGCTGCAGATCACGTAATTAAGAATGTATTGTGGAAGCTCCAATCGCAAGTGGGAGTTGGGAATACCAGAGAGCGCGACTTGAATCATCCAGCATTGAAGGAGATGCAGGAATTGCGCCCCGAGTCGGAGACTGCACTTCTCTCGTCCACACACGGCCAATGCCCGAAACGCGAAAAGATTGATTTGGTGATCCAGAGGCCGCATTGGGAACAAATGGGGAGAAAAGAGCGCGGCTTCTGCTTCGCAGGATTTTCGTTTCCGAATCTACACTCCCGGCGCAGGGGTCCAATATTGCAGATTCCGTTGGGGGCACTGTCCATCCTGCCAGTGCTACTTCGTCGGCAATTGGAGGTGCAGAAAGAATGCGGGCATCGACGGTCGCGCAAACTTCGGCAATATGTCTGGCATCACCGCCGTGCCCGCGCAGGCGGCCTTGCCATGCTCTGCGGTGGCCCGGGAGAAAGCGCGGCGCGCGGTGGACCTGCAGCTGTTGCAGTTCATAACTGATGACTTGCAACGCAGCGGCGGCACGTTCGCATCTGCCATCCACGCGTGGGCCAAGCTGCAGGGCGTGAGCACCAGAACCTCATCCTGGGCGACTTCGCGACACAGACAGACCACGCGCGCGTGCGTCTGGAGGACGCCTGGCACATGCACAATGCAATTCGTTTGGCAGGAGCCAACGGTGGGAATTGCGAGTGGTCTTGCACGGAGAGCGGCATAGAGCGCGCCCTTGCGAATATTGCGGCATGCGCGCGAAGGGCGCACCTGGCGCGCATCGCGGAGCACGCGCGGACGTGTCCGAAATTCGTTGACAAGCTCGCGGCGCTGCTTGATGACAAGCGCGGCGCCCGCCGATTCGTTTGCGGCGGCTTGGAAGGCTATGAACCCATGGAGGGCCCGGAGTTGGAGTTGTACATTGGCTGCCGACGGCGCGCCCCCACGAGGCAATTCTTTTGCAATTTCTGCCGCCCGTCAAAGATAGAACAAGCGCACTTGATACCCCAGAAGGAGATCTTGGGCGTCGTTCCTCCCGGGCCGGCCGCTGACGGCGTCTCCGCGCTGCGGTGCGCGATGAGCTGCTGCGACCTCGATTTGCCGGGGCGCCCCTTCGACGCGCACTTGCCGCGAGCCGAGGTGGACAAGGACTTGCCGGCGAAGTTCGAGAAGTCGTTGCTTCGGAGCTGGGGCGGCCACGGCAACGGGAAGTCGCGCCCGGCGTGGATCAAAGGAAGCCGGCAATTTGCGCGCTGGCTGAGGAAACAGACGCCGGCTTGTGGGCCGCCCAGCTCGGTCGCAGCGAGCAATGGCGCAAGCGCTCAGGGTGGGACAAAGAAAGTTCGGCGCGGCTCTGCTTCTCGGGCGCCAGCCCGGAAGGCGGCCCAGGCGGGCAGAGGCCGCGGGGGCGAGGCTGCGGGCGTTTCGCGCCGATCAGGAAGAGGGGGCGCTGGCGGGGCTTAGGCCACGGCGCCGAAGCGGCCAGCTCCAGCCAGGTCGAAGAAGCGGCCGGCGGCGGCCGACGTGGACAGCAGCGCAGGCAGCGCCCGCTCATTGAGGAGCCGCTGCAAGGGATGGCTTGCTCTGGACAGCAAGCAGGAGGAAGCTATCCAGGCGCGCGGCGTCGACAAACTCCACGGAAGTAACGAAGTCAGACGCTGCGCTGGAGGCGTCGCGACAGCAGCGACATCGCGCGGCACGCTGGTGGACTGGGTGGAGCTCTTCCGGGGCGAGTCCATCGAGCTGCTGCATGCGTTCGCGCTGCGGCTTCACAAGGGCGGATGGCGACGCCCGAGGTTCTGCTCACGTCACGAGCCCCCCCAATTCGGCCAGCGTGGAGGGAGGGATTGAAGGGTCGATGGGGTCGCGAAAGGGCGCAATAGGAGGATGGAGAGGCGGGAATGGAGGGGGGGAGAGGAAGGAAAGGAGGGGGGGCGGGCGGGGGGGGAGAAGGGCGAGGGGAGGGGAAAGGGAAGGGAGATGGAGGAATGACAAAATGCATGCGTGGATGCATCTTTTCGGGGGCGGGCGGGGCACGGGCTGAGCAGAGCGCCCTGGCGCCGGCATCGACCGGGCAGGATGGCCGCGAGCTGGGCTTCGTCATTGCGGCCCTGGGATGCGACAGCGCGCGCGAGCTTCTGTCACTTGCCCGGGCGAAAGAGACAAAGTATCTACCATGGGCGAAATCTTTCGTGGGGGGAGTGCGGATGGCGCTGGACAGGTTCCACCGGGGCAACCACGCTTGGCGCTTGAACAACATGCCAGAAGTGGAACCCCTGAGGCTAGATAATGCCAAGCTGTTGGAGAAGAAAATCACGGGGGCATGTGAGCAATTGAACTCTTGGATCAGCGGCAGGACACGGAATGGCCTGGAGATGACGCGGGGGCACTTCCAAATTCATTGGTGGATCTTTTTTGACGCCCACAACCAATGGCTCGAGCGAGAAGCGGCACGCGGGCGCAGACGTTGCGAGGCGGGGCCCGTGTAGCGCCAGACGAGTGGAGCACCTCAGGATGCGGGGACAGCTAGCAAGTAGGCGTCTAGCCCGCACTGACACGGCGTGGCCACTTGCATTGCGTAGACTTTTTGCATGCCAGCTGGCTTTGCCTTCGACCCTTTGGGAGCGCGTTGCGCTCCGGATTGGAACTGTAGGGTTGCAGGTGCGTCGAGAGCAGCAAAACACATCGAATGAACATCGCTGTTATCGCACGCATAGCTGACACCTCGCAGCCCACATCGCATAGGTTGCACCACATGGCCTGCATCGCATAGCTCACGCCACGCACATAGCGCACGATACTTAGCCACCTAGCCTACGCAATATCGACTACACCGTATAGCTTACTCCGCTGATCTTGCACCACTAGCAATGCAAACAGAAGCAACTAGCACTGCCCGCCTCGGCGTCGACGCCACTAGCAGTGCAAACAGAAGCACGCGCATCGCCGCCATTACCGAAGATCCCAACAGCAGCAGCAGCAGTATCAAGCTGTCGCGGAACTCCCAGGAGGCGCTGCACGGCGCCGCGCGCCCAAGAAACTTCAGTGTGAACGACAACAGCTACCATGCACCGGCTCGCGCTCAGCGTGATGTTCGGCTTGGCCTTCCGCGGGGTCTACGTTGCAGCGACTCCGAAGGCCCGCCGTTTAGGACGCGGCGCTGACGCGTGCCAACAAGCCCCCGCGTTGACGAACAGAGAGATTCGGACTATATACCGGATCATGGATAACCCAAAACCCATTCCCCGAGCAGGCAGTGCGGCGGGCAACGCCGCTCATGTGGGCTGTGGCCTCGGCATTGGGCAAGGCGGCCTCTCTGCGCGCGTCGTGAGCGCACGTCCACCTCATGATTCTGGTGGCCACAACTCTCAGGGCAGTTCGGTTCAAGTGCGGTGGAATCTGATCCCGACAATGCAATCTGCTCATGATCCAGCATAGCCCACCTGGGGATGGAAAGTCGGTCGCACTGCGGTTGGACGTGCAAGTGCTGGCCTTCTTCGACATGATACGGGAGAGGCGAGCCAAGACAAATTACGACGAGGCCGAACAGAAACGCAAAGAGGACCCAGATAACAACCCGCAGCCGGCGAAAAAAGAACATGCCAAAGACACCATCTTCAACAAAGGGACGTTCATCGGCCTCGGGAACTTCATGCAGGCGCAAGGGGGGGCCGCATTTCTTGCGCTACACGAGGGGAAAACATGGCTACCCCAGACCTTCGACAACGGCCCAGGCGGCGGCATCGACGACCACAACCAAACTCACGATCATGACATGTACAAGAACCATTCTTGGAATACCCAGAATCGCTGTCTCGTGCGAAACCCGCATTTGCGCGGAGCGGTCATGATGCACGTCGAAAAAGTGTACGACCAGGCGCAGAAGCCCGACACCACCGCGGGCATGATGCGTTTCCTGATCGGACATTTCTCAGCCGTTCTCATTATGGAGGAGTTGCGGCAGATTGTGCCAGAAGCTCACGAAGACACGGTGGGGGGTGATCACTCTGTTGCAGACAGGCCCCGCTTCGAATGCCAATCCTGCCCGTGTCGCCGGGTCGCCAGGATGCCAGGTCGCCGGGTTGCCGGCTCGCCGGGTCGTCGCGTCGCCGCGTCGCCGGGTCGCCCGGTCGCCGGGGCGCCGCCGGGGCGCCGGGTCGCCGGGTCGCCGGGATGCCAGGTCTCCCGGACGCCGGGTCGCCGGGTCGCCGGATCGCCGGATCGCCGGATCGCCGGGTCGCCGGGTCGCCGGGATGCCGGGTCGCCAGGTCGCCGGGTCGCCGGGTCGGCGGGTCGCCGGGTCGCTGGGTCGCCAGGAGGCAGGGTCGCCGGGTTGCCGGGTCGCCGGGTCGCCGGGTCGCTGCATGGGTCGCCGGATCGCCGGATCGCCGGGTCGCTGGGTTGCCGGGATGCCCGGTTGCCGGGTCGCCAGGTCGCCGGGTCGCTGGGTTGCTGTGTGGCCGCGTCGCCGGGTCGCTGGGTCGCCGGGAGGCCGCGTCGCCGGGTTGTTGCCCGGTCGCCGGGGATGCCGGGTCGCCGGGTCGCCGGGTCGCTGGGTCGCCGGGATGCCGGGTCGCCGGGGCGCCGGGTCGCCGGGTCGCCGGGGCGCCGGGGCGCCGGGTCGCCGGGTCGATCGCCGGGTCGCCGGGTCGCCGGGTCGCCAGGAGGCCGCGTCGCCGGGTCGCTGGACGCCAGGTCGCGGGGTCGCCGGGTCGCCGGGTCGCCGGGTCGCCGGGGCGCCGGGTCGCCGGGTCGCCGGGTCGCGGGGTCGCCGGGTCGCCGGGTCGCCGGGTCGCCGCCGGGTCGCCGGCCCTTGTGGAGTTCTCTCTGAAATCTTTCAATCTCCGTTGGGACCCTTTCAGTGCAAGCACCGATTTGGAAACCAGGGGTGACGCACGGATATATTTCGAGGCTCTTCCAGATAACTATTTCGATCGATGCGCATCACCGTCGCGAAAGAACAGTGAATTTCGTGAATGACTCGACTTGTGCTTCCGACCCCGTCGTCACGCCAGACTTTTCGAGACGGGTCGATCCGCCAGGGCGCCAAAGGAGGGCAAGGAAGCTTATGGTCAGTGCAATATGTCGAGACCGTGTGGGACAGGTGTTCCGAGCTGGACTTCTAGTCTGTTTCATACCGGGTCTTGGTTGTTGATTTAAAGCCTAAGGCTCAGGGTAGGTCTAGGGTTGGGACTGATAGTATGTTTGGGTTTTAGGTTTGGCGGTTGCGCCTGAAATTGTTTTGAGCCGAGGCACGCAGTTCATCTCAGGCCAGCTCGAGTATAGCGCCGAGGGAGGGTAGCAGCAGACGCAGTCAGCCAAAAGGGGGGCGTTCACTCAATGTTTGCCCCTGCTTTTTGCACGTGCTCGCACCCTCTCCTCTCCGCAGCTTTGATTCGATCAGGCCAGAGCCCGACACGGGCGACGGTGCCACCTGATGTTGCAGGCATAGTGTTTGAGAACACATCCATCTCATAGAGTTAGATCGGGAGAAGGAGAAGGAGCTGCGCCTGATCCTACTTATCAGGGTCTTGGTTCTTTTCCACATCACGGCCTCTTGACTGACGACTGGATGAGGGGGATGAGGAGTGACGAGAAGGAGGCGGAATGACGAGGAGGAGGAACGGATGGAGGATGACAAGGAGGAGGGCCAGAGTAAACGCAAGATGCATGAGGCATCAGTGATGCTGCAATGCACCCTTCCGTCCCAAGCCCCCCCTTCACAACTCCCTGCATTTTTTCTCACTACAAGAAGCGCCTTCTTAAACGACCGACACCTGTGGGCCTATCACTCAGGCGAGAGCCCCTTTTTGGAACGGGACTGCCATGCACCCTCTTATGCCACGCATAATCGCAACTGGGACCAGATACGGTCATACAGTTCCACGAGGTGTCCAGCGAAACTCTAGTTCTGATACAGGGCTGTTCCCAATCCGTGCAACTGTTGCGTACGTTTACACTTTAGGCAAGGACCTTCGAGGAAGACTCAAGCGAGAGCCCCATTTTGAAAAGGATCCGCCCTTCATTTGTGCAGCTTCTACATCTTCTGAGGGTTCGTGTTTTCAGATTCGAGGGAATCTGAAACGATATCCCCGTTTTGCAAAGGAATCGTCTTTCCATTATACATATGTGGCAAATTTCATATTCAAGTGATTGATATAAGCTTTCAAGATAAAAGTGCGCGAAGCTAAGTCGAGAGCCCCATTTTGAAAAAGGACCCACCCTCTACCCTTGTAGCTGCTGCAAGAGTTTCAGACGAATGTGCGCGGCGTGACAGCGATATCGACATCTTGGAATGGAGCTGTTCTCCATCCTGGAACCGTTGCAAGCTTTCAAAACGAACGTGCATGGCAATAGAGCAAACTTCCCTTTTGATGTTCCCCATCCGTCTACGTATGTCGCAGTTGCAAACTTTAAAGGCGAATGTGCGTGGCGTGAAGGCGAGATCCACATCTTGAAAATGAGCACCACACTCAGGCGAAAGTTGCATTTTGCTACCCCCTCCGTCTATGTGGCTGGTGCAAGCTTCCAAAACTAATGCGCGCGGCGTGAAGGCGAGATCTACATATTGAAAATGAGCTGCTCTCAATGTTGCTAACTGCTGCAAGCTTTTAAGACAAATGTGCGCGGCGCTAAGGCTGGAGCCCCATCTTGACTTCTCCTCCATGTATGGAGTTGCTGGAAGCTTTCAAAGAGAATGCGCGCGGCGCTGAAGCGAGACAGCCATCTTGAGAAAGAGCCGCCCTCCATCCTTGTAATTGTTGCGACTTTCAAGCTTCAGGGTCATAGGTGGTAAGAAAGTCTGAGGCTAGACGCCCGGCCCGTCCCGCCGACGCGTCTGGGGGTGCGACACGGAGGAGTTACTTCGAAGGTTTTGGATTGAGGAGGAGGGGGAGGGGTGTCCAGCAGGAGGCGGAGGAAGAGGAGGAGGAAGACGAGGAGGAGGAGGAGGAGGAATAATACGATACTCAAGGAGGGTGAGGGGAGGTGTTCGGGGTGGGGGGGTGCTGACAGTCGGTCGCAGTGAATAAGAACTAGTTGCGCACGATGATTGCGAGCTGCAGCGAGACAGGGCTCTGCGAAGACGCCTCCCTGCTCTCTCGGAGCGCCGCTTCACTTGCCTGGGTCTCCGCTGCGCGCCGCCGACAGCCCCCCCACCGCCTCCGCATCTATATTTTTCGATTCGCGATCTGCGGCCACGGCCAGCCCAACCTGGGCAATGACCACATCGAGTCTGGCAGTTCGAGGGCTCACCCTTGGCGAAACAGCCATCGTCAGGAGTGGTTTCCCTCTTCTCAGCGTCCTGTCGTTTTGTTGAATGGTCTTCCCCTCTCCCCGGAAGACCCCGCCTGGACCCCTTCTGGAGCTGGCGGCATGGGGCGGGCAAAACTAGATGCTACATATCCAAAGTGCACGAGCTCACTGCGAAGGGTTCCAGACATTTGGTGAGCCTGGTGCCTGGAACCCCTTCCTCATGACTTCCCCTCGGAAAACTCCTCCTGGAAAACCTCCTCTGGACGGTTCCCGTTTTCCTTAGGATGGATGTATTGCTCCGCATATCCTAAGATGGGTTTTTGTTATTACTGGGACGGCTCCTTTTCCTCATTCACTCACTCACCTCCTCAGTCATTCGTTCACTCGTGCCTTCTTCCTTCTCCCTGCCTGCATTCAGACTCACTCGCAGAAACACAGTCACACACATACCACTTGTACTCATATCCACTCATGCTCTGGTCCATTCACATTCAATTTTTCTCACACAAGGACCCACTAACACACATCCCTCCAGTCATACAGAGTCACACTCCTCATCACATTTGAACTCATTGACGCTCAGACCCGCTTGCACTCATGCTCGCTAATACGCACAGATTCACGGACACTTAGACCCTGCACTTGGGAAGCCCAAGAAGGGGTCGCCAACTGGTAGGCCGCGTGGCCGATCGCGCCCAGATTGTGGGGAAGTCTGAGGCGGTTTGATGTGTTGGCCCTCAGGAGAGCCTCATGATCACAACGCTATAGCCCGCGTGGCATTGGGGGACCCAGACGAGGGGCCGCCAGGGTGTAGGACACGTGCCCGTTCGCTCTCAGATGGTGGGCATGTTTCAGGCTGTTTTCTGTTTTTGCCTCCCAAGGCCCCTCTCTTTTGGGAGCCTCAGGATCACAGCGCTAAAGCAGGCGTAGATTTTGCGCACTCCAAGAGGGGCCCCCTAGGGGGTATGACGCGGGCACACGGTAGGGATCTATCAGGCGTTGTTTGTTTGTTTTGCTTGTTTTTCGCAACCCGCCAGACTCCTTTCTATTGGCAGTTCCATGATCACCGCGATCTAATATTTGCGTAGCATGTGGGCACTCCACAGAGGGGCCGCCGGGGGCCAGGACACATCCCAGTTCGCGCCCAGATTGTGGAGATGTCTCGGGCGGTTTGCTGTTCTTGCCTTGTAGATTCCTTTGCCTTGAGAGCCTTATGATCACATCGCTATAGCAGGCGCAGCAATTGGGCGCTCAACGGAAGGGTCGCCAGGGGTCGAACACGGGTCCGTTCGCGATGACAGTTTAGGAATGTCTCAGACGGTGTGCCTGTTCGGTTGCCCAGACCTTTCTCTTTTTTGGCAGCTCCATGATCGTATCGCTATTGCAGGCGTAGCGTTTGGGCGCCCCGCAGAAGGGCCGCCAGGGGGGGGGGTACGAGGCCGTTCGCGCCCACATTGTGGGGATGTCTCACGCGGTTTGCCTATTTGGTTGCTTGGGTTCCTTTCTCGAGGGAGCCTCAGGCTCACAGCGCTACGACAGGCGTAACACGTGGGCACACCAAGGAGGGGCCGCCATGGGGTAGAACACGGGTCCGTTTGCGCCCAGAGTGTAGGGATGTCTCAGGGTCTTTGCCATTCAGATTCCGGTCTAGTGACAGCCCCAAGATCGCCGCGATGTACAGATCGCTCAAACGTTTCGTGACCCCACAGGGAGTTGCACCGCAGGTCTCAGTTGCAGGGTATCGCGGGAGGTCCCCCCCGCGCATTTCGGCACACCCCACTCACGTTATATGGCCTCGGCGGGTTGTTTTTCCCCTCCGCAGTTGTTGCCTGTATGGAGATAGTTGTATTTTGCGCTCCTCGCAGCTGCTTTGGATTTGTCTTTTTCGCCAGGAGTTTGGTTTCTCACTCGGAACACTTTCCTGGACCGTTTCGCAGGGGGCGTGACCTCTCCAGGAAGGGCTTCCCTCTCCTCACAAGGGTTTTTCCCTGGAAGGCTCTTCGTGGACCCCCTCCCCAGGAAGGGCCCCCCCTCCTCCGATCTTTTTCCAGAGAAGCCCTTCTGAAACCGCTCTCAAGGAATGGTTTTCCCTTTGTCATGAGTCTTGTTTCCTGGAGAACCCCCTAGAGCTCTTCCCCACGAGGGGTTTCCCCATCCTCAGGAATGCCTGTTATCGGAAAGCCCGTTCCTGGAACCGCTCGTCAGGAGGGTTTTTCTTTCCTCAGGAATGGCTGTGCCCTCCTCAGGAGTTCTTTCCCTCATAGCATGTCGCTCGAGGGTTCTCATAGAAGTCCCACAGGGCGACGGGGAGCTCCAGACCGCCTGGTTCGACAGTCGTTGCGCTTGAAACTTGCAGCCCATTTCATCAGGAAACATGCTGTCGCCTCAGTGCTGGCTATAGTTTTTCTGTCTGGACGGCCAAGAGCCTGCTTGCAAAAGACGCACTCAGAAGCACATGACCGTGTTCTCACCCCTGTCCCTGCTCAGGTTCGCCTGGGACTTCCTTATGACTCATTTGGGAATCGTGCTCTCGCCTCAATGCCAGCTACATGTTTGGTCCAGACGGCCACGATCCTTCCTGTAAAATACCCATGCGAAGGACCCGACCATATGCAGTTGTGTGTGCCGCATTTATGACTATCGCCTTCAGTGGAGCTCCCTGTGGGGCCACGAAGCTTGCCGAAATTGGCTTGGGGGCGCATGCGGGCCCTGCCATCGGGGCATCCAGTGGATCTCCTTACGGGCCACGAAATGTGCGAGGGGTGTGCCATAATGGGCTTTGGGACGCATTCGGGCGCTGCCACTGGGGCATTCGGTAGAGCCCCCTATGTGGCCACGAAGCGTGTGAAGGGTTAATGGGCCTTGGAACGTGTGCGAGCTATGCCGCTGGGGCCTTCGGTGGAGTCCCCTATGGGGCCACGAAACGTGTGAAGGGTACATGTGCCTGGGGACGCATGCGGGCAATGCCACTGGGTTATTTGGCAGAGCTCCCTATGGGTGCCACGAAGCGTGCGAGTAATGTGCCAGAATTGACTCGGGGACCGCATGCGCAAACACCCCCTCGGGGCTTTCTGTGGAGCTCCCTACGGGGCCATGAAATGTGTGAGGGGTGTGCCGAAAGCGAGGCGGGTACTTGCCGCATAGCTCCCTCTGGGGCTGCCTATGGCCGATGATGGTGATGATGGTGATGGTGATGATGGCAGTGTTTGCACATCTCATCTTCAGTGGAACCGAAGGCCGTCGTGGTCACGCAGCATCGCCGCGACCGCGTCGGCTCAAGTCTTTTTCTGGAGGGCGAGGCCTCCACCCGGATGCACCTTGGCTCCGGTTTCGGCTTCCCGCTTGCAGGCAACGCCATTCTCCTGTGCCTGGCGCGCTCGTGGCTGCAGCCCGCCGTGCCCGCGGCTCCCGCCGCGCCCGCGGCAGCGGCGGCCCTCCCGCCTGAGGAGGCGAACCCGTTCCCGGCGCCGGGCGAGGCCGCTGGGGTCCAGGTGCCGCTGGCTGACTGCCTGGCGGCCGCCTGGGACGCGAGGGGGGCCGCGCGCGCTTGCCCTTCGGCCTGCCCCCAGTGCCCCGTTTGCAACGAGGGTAGCGGGCCGCGGCATTCCCTGGCGTGGGAGGCGACGGTGTACGTCGGGGGGCTGCTGGCCTCCGAGCTCCTGCGCAGGGGGCTCGCTCGCCGCGGCGGCCGCCCGACCCCCTTGCCGGGGCCGCACTCGGCGGCCCGCTCTGGACAACGACCCCCTCGTGAACGCGCAGCAGCCTGTGCGGGTGGACTCGCCTGACCGACACGGGCGGCAGCGGGCTGGGCCGTTTCTCATGATCTCGGTCAGCAATGAGATTTGGATTGAGTGCGACGAGCCTGGGGCGCGTCTCGCACACAAGCGCATCGTTGTGGCGCTGTCCTCCCGAGGGCATGAGCATTATGCGATGCTCACATCCGACTTCGAGGTCCACCTCGAGGAGCGTGACGCGGGGTACGCGGACATCCGCAACTGGTGGAAGGAGTGGGGCCCTGCCGCAGCCCCGCAGGATGCCTCCATACCCCCTGGGCTGCGACGGCACGACGTCGCCGCCATGCCACTGGTCGCCCAGCTGGCCCAAGCCTTCGCGCTCGGAGCCGCGAAGATGGCGGAGCACGGGCGCGGCCTGGGCGGGGGTCTTCCTGCTGCTGCCCCTCCTCCGGGTGCCGCTGGCCGTGGTGGCCTGCCCGCTCGCCCTGTGGCCTCAGGCGGCGCGCCTCTGGGAGGCGGCATCGCCGCGGGCGTGCCCGCGGCAGTCGGCGGCACCGCTGCAACCGCCGCCGCCCCCGCTCTGGCAGCCGCTGGCGGCGCGGCGTGCGCCCAAGCCGCTGGTGGCGGGCTCGCTGGGATTGCTGCCATGGTCGCCGCCGCCCCCGCCGCCGGTGGAGACCGCGTCGCCGCTGCAGCCCCCGCGTCTCCTGGCGGCGCTGCTGCCCCAGGGCCTGGGGACCTGCGGACGCCCGCTACGGCCTGCGACGTGCAGGGCCAACGGCATCGGAAAGCCAGGGGCAGCGTGCAATTCATGCGTCCGACGAGTTTCCCCGATTGGCTTGTGCCAGGCACTTCCACGTACCGCTGGGTCGCGACACACCAGGTGGGGAACAGGGGCTCGCCGATGGTACACCATCTCGCCTGGAAGGCGGCGTTGGGATCCACAGTGCCCGTTGACCATCCCATCGTCTCGATGCATCGCGAGTTTCCCAAGATCATGCAGGTCGCCCAGTCATGCGACCAGCTCGACGGGTCGGGCCAAAGCCCTGCGAAGAGCGGTACACAGACAAGTTGGTCTCCTCGCGGTTGCTCGGCAGCGACGGCGACGAGCAGTTTTTCTTCACGGAGATGCAGTCCGCCAGAGAGCCCATGGTCTGCCTTGCCTTGTCCGAGTGGATCTCGAAGCAGCTGGTTGCCGAGTCGGCCATCGCGAAGGAGCGCCGCAAGGCGCGCGAGGAGCGGCAGCTGCTCCACCCGCCTGCTGGCGGCCGCGGCGGTGGACAGGGCAGCTGCGCTGGCAGGGCTGCGAAGTCCTAGCTGGCGCACAACGGCGTTTGTGCAGCGGTCGCCAGGACCTCGGCCATCCTGGAGGACTCCCTTCTGGCCCCTCGCTCCT